CCTGTCAGGGCGGTCATTGGTGGTAGCCAAGCACCATCTAGTTCTTCTGGTCTCAGGCTGATGGAGTCTCTGGTTTATGTGGCCCTTTGTGTCTCTTGGGCTAATATTTTCCTTCTGTCTTTGGTGTTTTTCATTCTCCTTTGCTCCAGGTGTTTTTCATTCTCCTTTGCTCCAAATTGATGCATCTTAGATGGCTGCTCACTAGCTTTTAAGACCCCAGATGCCACTCACCAAAGTGGAATGCAGAACATTTTCTTAATAAACTTTGTTACGCCAGTTGACCTCAATGTCCGCTGAAATCATGGTAGCCAGACCCTTACCCCTGCTACTCTGTCCCTCAAAGTGTTTGATTGTATTCAGGAGAGTTCTTAGCTTTTGGTTTAGTCCAGTTATGCTGACTTCCTCTGTATTGTGTGTTGTCCTTCCCTTCACCTAAGATAATTCTTATCTACTATTTAGTTAGTGAATACTCCTCTCCCTCCCTCCCCACCCTCGTTACCGTCAAAGAAAGTTTTATTCTGTGTTTAAACCTTTTCTTGAGTTCTTATAATAGTGGTCTCATACAATATTTGTCCTTTTGAGACTGACTAATTTCTCTCAACATAATGCCCTCTAGATTCATCCATGTTATGTTTCACAGATTCATTGTTCTTCTTTATCATTGCGTAGTATTCCATTGTGTGAATGTACCATAATTTGTTTATCCATTTGTCCATTGATAGGCACCTAGATTGTTTCCTTCTTTCTGCTATTGTGAACAGTGCAGCAGTGAACATGGGTGTGCATATATCTATTAGTGTGATGGCTCTTATTTCTCTAGGATATATTCCAAGGAGTGGGATTGCTAGATCGGGGTACTTCTATTTTTAGCGTTTTAAGGAAGCACCAAATCGATTTCCAAAGTGGTTGTACCATTTTACATTCCTACCAGCAATGTATAAGTGTTCCAGTCTCTCCACAATCTCTCCAAGTTTTTTTTTGTTTTGTTTTTTTTTTTTGGATTAATGCTAGCCTTGTTGGGGTGAGATGGTATCTTATTGTAGTTTTGATTTGAATTTCTTCAGTGGCTGATGATCGTGAGCATTTCCTCATGTATCTGTTAGATGCCCGGATGTCTTCTTTGGTGAAGTGCCTGTTCATATCCTTTGGCCATTTTTTAATTGGGTTGTCTTTTTGTTGTTGAGGTTTTACAGATACTGATTGGATTTCTTGTAGCCAAATTTTTTTTCCCAGTCTGTAGATTGTCTTTTTACTCTTTTGATGAAGTCTTTTGGTGAGCATAAGTGTTTGATTTTTAGGAGCTCCCAGTTATTTAGTTTCTCCTCTGGTGTTTGTGCATTGTTAGTAATGTTTTGTATTCTGTTTATGCCATGTAGTAGGGTTCCTAGTATTGTCCCTATTTTTTCTTCTATGATCTTTATCGTTTTAGATCTTACATTTAGGTCTTTGATCCATTTTGAGTTAGTTTTTGTGCATGGTGTGAGGTATGGGTCTTGTTTCAGTTTTTTGCAGATGTATATCCAGTTATGCC